AAGTTTCCGCAAGAGTTTACAGCCAGTGTTCACGAAGCAAAGCAAAAGCCAGTTTACAAAAATTAACAGACCGTAGAACTGCAAATATGCAAAAGAAGTGGATGAACTACCAGAAGTTTCCGCAAGAGTTTACAGCCAGTGTTCGCGAAGCAAAGCAAAAGCCAGTTTTAAAAAATTAACAGAGCGTAGAACTGCAAATATGCAAAAGAAGTCGATGAACTACCAAAAGTTTCCGCAAGAGTTTACAGCCAGTGTTCGCGAAGCATAAGTCAAATGGTTAAGGATTAATATTATTAGTGTACTGCTACAACATATAATTATACTGTTAGTAAACAATTAGTAATGAGGCAAAGAGTTACTTGCAGTGAGAGGTTAGTTAGTAAATTAAATAATATTTTCATCTACTTACCTAGAGCTCCGAAATATCTTGACACAATTTATCCACAGTGTGGTTGCACCATTTATGCACAGTCAATATGAAAGCAACAGTTTTCTTCAAACACAAGATAGTTTGCACCTGACAACTGTCGATATTCTCCAGATATGGCTTTTAAATTACCCATTTGTATTATCCCTAAAAGTAAGATTTCTACATTTAAAGTAGAAAAGTAATAAACAGCCAGTTCCCAAAAATCCGAACTACTGACTAGAAACAGTGACACTGACACACACATCACAACACGACTGTCTTCCGTGAATTAAAATTAAAATTGCTGTATATCCACTTCACAATATCCATTTGTAGATTTGTAATACGAATACGTTTAGAACACAGGACTTTGTAAGCATATTAATATGTCACAATGCAACATGGAAACGCTCCCAGTAACCTAATTTCGAGGGGGACTCCTCCAAAATGTACTGTGATTCAGTTGGCAGGACTGAATAATTAGAGAAGGGCGTGCATGGTCCATGGCTTGTCTGACCTCCCCAGTAGCTTTACCTGCAAGCCGATCAGCTTGCTCCTTTCTTTGCACGCCTGCGTGCCCTTGCACAAATATGAAACTGATATGTGTCAGCCCCAACCGCTTTAGAGACTCCAACCACAGTCTTTGGATCCAGCCCTTCTCTGTCTCCCAGAGCAAACTCATACTTCGCAACACTGCAAGAGTCCTTTTCAGGGCTACTTGGTGGGCAGCAATGCTAAGCTATTTTATATGGTGCAAATAACCTAGTCACAATTGTAACCTAAAGCTCCCCCTTCGACGATGCTGGGCGAACATGACGATTGCGTGTGCGTGTGCGTGCGTGCGTGCGTGTCTACACTGGTGAGACTGAAGTTCCAATGTCTATGTTGGTGAAACTGTGACATTCCAGTGTCTACATTTGTGAGACTGTGATGTTCCAATGTCTACACTGGTGAGACTGTGACATTCCAGTGTCTACATTTGTGAGACTGTGATGTTCCAATGTCTACACTGGTGAGACTGTGATGTTCCAATGTCTACACTGGTGAGACTGTGACGCTCCAATGTCTACAATGGCGAGTCTGTGATGCTCCAGTGTCTACAATGGCGAGACTGTGACATTTCAATTTCTATATTGGTGAAACTGTGATGTTCCAAAGTCTACACTGGTTGAGACTGCTCAGCCTGTGCACAACCGATATTAAATTTATTTTTCTGGAAAAGAGTAACTGCTAAACTGACAGAGCAGCCATCGGAAGCCCCCTAAAGATCCCATCCTGGCTGACATATTAATGCTACATCTTGAACATAATAGATCTACATACATCAATGATGTGGTTCTAACCCTCCAATATGTAGATAACGTTTTGATAGTAACTGCTGATAAACAGCCCCACTGCATTCCTTTCCATCACAAACTAGGTTCCCCGTGTGGGTTCCGGGACCTTTTTATAGGGAAAACAAGAATAGACCCACTGCCTACACAAAAGCATGTCGTAAGAGTTGACTTATTGGGAGCTTCCTTCGAAGTCAAAGTGCATCTGCCTGAGAGGCAAGAAACCAGCAGTCTGCATACAAATGAGTCAGATCTGTAAAACGGATGCACAAGCAACACTCTGGAACAGGACTGCAGTCCAGAGGTGGATGAACAAGCAGAATTTTCTGCCAGAGTTTACAGCTGGTGAACACAAAGAAGAAGACAAACCAGGTGCACACAAAAAATCACATTATCATTACAACAAGAACATGAAAGTACTTTACCATTCCTTGATGTACTCATTACATAGAGAGGATGGCAGTATGCAAAGATCAGTGTGTCCAAAAGAAACACGGACCTGACCAGTACCTAAACTTCAAGTTTTGTACCCATTTAGTACAAACGTGGCTTAGCAAAAGCAGTCATTTGTGTAATTGTTTGTTTGAATTGGTACAGAAAGCTTTGGATCAAAGATATACTGGTAGTCAAAATGGAAACACTCAAGACAACTCTACTTCTGCTTGGATTCATTAAACATCAATACACTCCACCCAACCCCATACAAAATTACTGTGTGAAACTGAAACGCAGAGAGGGGACAGTTAATAATGATTTTTTTAGTGTGTATCTTATCTTTCATTTAGTTCTCTCGCAGAGCTATACAAGACTAATTATGTCATACCATTAAATTGCCTACGAATCGGCTGATTGATGCTTATAGTTTTTTTTTTTTTTTTAGTAATTGCCATAGTCTTACTGTTTCTGCTCAACACAGCGATTCTAATTTGAAAATAAAATATTATTAACTTAGTGCTGCTGGTTTTAATATCCAGTTATTTCAGCAGATTTCAAAATGCTATAAAAGTTTTTCTTGCCTTTTGCTTCCATATTGCTCAATACAGCAATACTGATTTGAAAATAAAATATTCTAAACTTAATGCTGGTTTTAATATCCACTTACTTCAGTAGATTTCCAAGTATTATGTAAGTTTCTTCTGCCTTTTGTGTTCCATCTGTCAGAAGCACCAGAACATTGGAGCTCAGGCTCATATAGAGTTCCCCCACCTTTTTTATTTCAACCCAGAAAACATAAGAAAGGTAACCCCCCCCCCCCCCCCCCCCCCCCAACTATCTCACAGATAATTTGTAAGGGGTTTAAGTTATCCTCTTAACCATCAGTAGACATTCTCTTTCTAAGGATTTGCTTATTCACTCCATATTATTTCAAATTTGTGAATCTTTTTTAACCATTCAGCACATTAGTATTATTAGGAGCCCCACCACCCACACACACAAGGCTTTAGTCCCCTTGAGCTGCTGCCCCCCCCCCCCACCACCAACACACACAAGGCTTCAGTCCCCTGAGCTTGCCCCCCCCCCCCCACCCCCCACCCCAATCTCAGAAAATGTGTGAATGTGCAGACAAAAAACCAGGCACAATAAACAATTACAACTGAGAATACAATCAACCCAAGGAAACAAAACCAAGAATCAAACTTCAGATACATATGTTTATAATATTAATAATTTAATCACAAAGAGACACATTGCCTATTTATTACTCTAGACGTCGATACATCTGTTGAATACTGCTAGAATACACAATGGATAATGAACAAAACTAGCACTGAAAATCAGTACATTTAGTCCTCACATGAAAAAAAACATGAAGACTTGAAATGCTTTCTAAGGTTCAAGGTAGTATTTTCAAAACAAAAATTTACCTCCTTCAATATTTATTGCACATGCAAAAACTGTTACTCCTATGTGATGGCAATGTAGAAATCCCTGCCACATCATTTTGTTTTTTTCAATCCTCAACTCTTTGAGACCCAGGTTGGATGCTACCTGATTGCACTGTATTCTTAACACGTATTGTTTAAACTAATAAACATGCGAGTCTGAAGCTGATACAATAATAAAATCATGAGAAAGAAGGATGTAAACCAGCAATCGAAGCAGAGTAAGATATGTAATTACTACATGGGGGAACAGAGGACTAATATTAAATAACACAAAAAAGAGCTCAACAAATGCATGCTGCATTGCTTGGGAATGAATGAATTAACAAATAAACCACACTTATGTCACAACTACTTCACAGTTAACTTTCTCAAAAATGCACCACAGAAGATCACACTGCTTCTGTGTATCAAACAATGAATCATGTGATGTTATATATCTGGCTAAATATTTTAAAATAAGCTTGGTTAAACTGTTTCATTACAAGGCATCTCACCATGCATATCTTTTAACTCTACAAATAACATTAGTAAGTAAAGACCCTTTTTTCAATGCTAGTGGCCCATGCAGCACACGATGTGACATATTTGTCTGGACCGTGTTGGGTATTGTGGTCAACATCACGCTGGTGGTCTTTTACTTCCAATGTAGATTCAAATCAAGACTGTTAGATCCATAGGCAAGAATCTAACCACAAAGCTACTGCAGATCCCAGTAATTCTATTGTTGTAAATTTTTGAGCTTGTTCTGTCCCCATTCGTTAGTTATCTTAATCTGCTGTATTCTAACTACTATTGTAACTGGTTTTGTCAGAGAGCTCTATTCCCAGTGCCTTTAGACTCACATATTGTTACTACAGTACAACAATATCAGGTTAAAAAGAGTTTCTGTATGTGCTGTTTGAAAGTTATGCACTGACGCATTTTCCATCGTCATAACTGTTTACATTAGGTGACACTGCAAAATGCTTTTGGACTAAATGAGTCAAAATGTCTGTTATTTAATTTCCTTTGATGTTTTCTTAAACTTTCCAAGGGGCAGTGGTGGGCCTTTTGTGTGGTCTTTGTACATGAGAGGAGCAATTATGGTATGACCCATCTATGGTATGAACCATCTATGGTTTGACCCATCTATGGTGTGACCCATCTGTGGTGTGACCCATCTGTGGTGTGACACATCTGTGGTGTGACCCATCTATGGTGTGACCCATCTGTGGTGTGACCCATCTATGTTGTGACCCATCTGTGGTGTGACCCATCTATGGTGTGACCATCTGTCGTGAAGATGGCACTGTGACTAACCATCTACTGAATATAAAGCATATTAACATTTCCAATTTCAAAATAAAAAGAAACTAAGACGACTGTTTTGCATTAGTCAGTGTTGAGAATGAGGCAGAGGCCTTGGAGGACCCAATGAGAGATGTGTTCCTTGGTGGCCAGGTCAGCTTCAAACACTAATCCGACTCCCATGGCATTACGTCTAGTCGATGTCACGTACACTGGGGTACGGAAGGTGTTCTGGGAAAGACAAAATGACAACCACTTTATTTTATGTAATCCTGCTGATACTGCAATCTCAAGCATTTATAAGCTCAAGTTTGTCTATCTCAAACATTTGCTACTTTGACATTTGTCCATTTGCTACTTTTAACTTTGTTGATCCTAAGCATTTGCCACTTTAAATTTTTTACTAATAATGTACTACTTTATCTCTCTGCTGATCCCAGACATCAGGAAATTGAACTTTGTTTATCCAAAACCTTGGCTACTTTAACTTTTTATATCTGTGGAAATTTGTTTCTTTCCCCACTCATTGAGCTTGCTAGTCATAATTTGTGTTTAGTGAATTCCTTTTTTGATATCAGCCCAACTGCAGTAATTCTTATTCCAACATTTTACCACAAGATAACAGATGGAACAAAATCCAGTAATATTTTCAATAACTATAAAGATTTATGATAAGAGATAAACAGAAACAATCTGAGAACCTTTTTTTTGTGTGTGTGTCATTGAATAATATAAGAGTTCAAGTGATACATGATGCTAAAGATCGTAAGATGTGGACAAGAATGATCACCCATGCCAGTTGGCAAGGATTTACTGATGATAAGAACAATATCTACCTATATGCAGTATGGTACTGCAGCGAGAGCTAGCGAGATAATCATCAAGGTATTTTAACTCATAGGCATTAAGTCAGGAACATTTATCCAGATCATACCTGCAGTTTCAGCCTGTGAGCCTCTATGGGTATGATCTTCAACACAGGCAATGGCTGAATCAGCTGTTTCGGAGGTTGTCTCATTATCTGCTTCCTTTCTAAATCCCAGGCTGCTCCTTCCAAGTACAGTCCATGTATGTAGCATCCTTAGAGATTATATCAAATTATAGGTTATTGGGGAGTTGCACTGGCGTAGTAGCTATATGCTCGCCTGCAGATTGGAAGGTCGCGGGTTTGGGTCCTGACAGAAATAGGCTCTCATCAAAAATGACCTTGGCTCCCAGGTTGACCCAGGTGCGGTCCTTGGAAGTAAAGGTTATTCTACCATAAAAACAATTATATTAGGTTGCTATAGAGTTACAGTGTCAGTGGCTTAGGCAGTCGAATGGGCTTCGTAATGCCGGGATGCCGGGTTTGATCCTAGCTGCGGGCTTTGTCCCTTGCGTTGGTTTCGACAGTGGTATCAAAAAGCCGACCGTCCAGAAAGCAATGGCAAACTACTGGACATAAATTTGCCTTGAAAAAACACAACAGCCAAACAAGGCTGGGGTTGGTTCTGCAACCTCCTGTAAAGGATATACAACTAATTTCTTTTTACCAGTTACAAAGTAAGCTGCTGTCCTGTGTGAGTGAGTTGACTGATGTGAGTGTTCATTAACTCATTGACTGATGTGAGTGTTCATTAACTCATTGACTGATGTGAGTGTTCATTCACTCACTGACTGATGTGAGTGTTCATTCATTCATTGACTGATGTGAGTTTTCATTCACTCATTGACTGATGTGAGTGTTCATTAACTCATTGACTGATGTGAGTGTTCATTAACTCATTGACTGATGTGAGTGTTCATTCACTCATTGACTGATGTGAGTGTTCATTCACTCACTCACTGATGTGAGTGTTCATTCACTCATTGACTGATGTGAGTGTTCATTAACTCATTGACTGATGTAAGTGTTCATTAACTCATTAACTGATGTGAGTGTTCATTAACTCATTGACTGATGTGAGTGTTCATTCATTCATTGACTGATGTGAGTGTTCATTAACTCATTAACTGATGTGAGTGTTCATTCACTCACTGACTGATGTGAATGTTCATTCATTCATTGACTGATGTGAGTGTTCATTCACTCATTGACTGATGTGAGTGTTCATTCATTCATTGACTGATGTGAGTGTTCATTCACTCATTGACTGATGTGAGTGTTCATTCACTCATTGACTGATGTGAGTGTTCATTCACTCATTGACTGATGTGAGTGTTCATTCACTCATTGACTGATGTGAGCGTTCACTCACTGACTGATGTGAGTGTTCATTCACTCATTGACTGATGTGAGTGTTCATTAACTCACTGACTGATGTGAGTGTTCATTAACTCACTGACTGATGTGAGTGTTCATTCACTCATTGACTGATGTGAGTGTTCATTAACTCACTGACTGATGTGAGTGTGTATTCATTCACTGACTGATGTGAGTGTTAATTAACTCATTGACTGATGTGAGTGTTCATTAACTCACTGACTGATGTGAGTGTATATTCACTCATTGACTGATGTGAGTATTCATTCACTCATTGACTGATGTGAGTGTTAATTCATTCATTTACTGATGTGAGTGTTAATTCATTCATTGACTGATGTGAGTATTAATTCATTCATTGACTGATGTGAGTGTTAATTCATTCATTGACTGATGTGAGTGTTAATTCATTCATTGACTGATGTGAGTGTTAATTCATTCATTGACTGATGTGAGTGTTAATTCATTCATTGACTGATGTGAGTGTTAATTCATTCATTGACTGATGTGAGTGTTAATTCATTCATTGTCCTGTTGTGCCCTATCTCACACACAGGGCTTGTAGTCTTTTCCTCCACTTCGTTTTATCCTGCAACTCTGCTTTGATATCATGGATGGAATCCAGCCCAGCACCCTTGGCTTCTTTCCACAACCTTTGCCTTAAAGTTTCTCTTGGACATCCTTGTTTCCCATTTCAGTGCCTGTTTGGTGATTCTCAGTTCATCTCTTCTCGGAATGTGTACAACATAGGGTCACCGTCACTCTTGTATAACTGTTGGTGCTAATGGCTGCTCAGGCATTTCTCTTATTTCTTCACTCCTCTTGATGTGAGCATAAAGTTGTCTTTTCAACAGCTACATTATTTGTAACACTTGGTAAACATACACACTGGAAGAAAACCTCAAGATTGGTTTTACACAGATGTACAAACTCTGTATCACCAGCACACACACACAAAAACTTGAGAACAAAGACTCTCCTTGCTTACATCCCGATACAACAAATTACACCTAAAAGATTAAATTATCCATCTTTTATGTAAAAATGATGCAGTTACTAAAAAAAAAATCCCAACTTTCTGATGGAAGTCCTGGGCAAGAGCAGTATGCAGTGAGCCCACAAAAAAAAAAGACTAACACATAACTGGTGTTGTCAGTTGCTACACACTGTGAGATTATTAAGTTGATCTGAGCACTCATAAACTGAATGGTTGAATATACGATGAGGAAGATCTTTGAACAAACAAAACTAACTAGAAAATAACTGAAAACTACAAACAACTGACCGTTAGTCGTTTTCTCAGTTACGTCCTCAGCATCTGCAAACTTTGTCACTGTTGTGTACAGGGTTGATTTGTCCAGGGGCCAGCCATGTTTACGGCAAGTGGCCTGGACCAGAGCCGTTAGGTAAGGACTCGGGGATGTGTAACCCTGACAACCACATCACAATTGGTTCACAATCATTGACCTAAGCAGACAAGAGGAGGCCATGAAAAAAAATTTGGTAATCTCTAAAGTAACAAAAATATGGAATGAATTAATGAAGACTGTAGTCACTATGCTATCATTGTCAGACATGGATACTGTCTTCAGAAGAAATAATAAAAATAGTAATGACAGAAATAAAATGTTGAAATATCATTGCTAGGTGTAACAATGAAAGATCGACTTAGCACAGAACCAATACTGAACTTCATCGGCAGACGAATAGATCAAATAGTTTGACCATTCAGCAAGATGGCAACAGACAGGGCACCACCAAGAGCAATGTTATGCAGATACAGGTGTAACAGAGCCAGAGGTCGACCATGCAAATATAGACTGCAGAAATGTCAGAGACACTGAAAACTACTATATGCAAAACGAATAAAAGGGCAAAGATCTCTTCGCGCTCTGAGGCCGTAAGGCACTCCAGGAGTGGACAAAATAAGGAAAATAATGAGTCCTGCCAGGAAAATAAACATAAATTAAATGACATTAAAGAAAAAGAAAGTGGAATCTGCTGCCACTAGCTCCAAAGTAACTAGAAGACAATGAAAGTGAGAAGGCCTGCCACACATAAGTTACTATTTGCTTCTCAACATCATTAACTTGTAAGATATAAGGGGATCCACCATGAACACTTTTTATTTAAACAAAAAGGCTCCTTGAATTAAAATAGTTGGGAACCTCCGCTCTGCAGTATCCACTGACATGTTGGTAGTACCTCTTGACTGATTGAAAGTCCAGGGGTCTGCATGCAAAGAGGTCAAACTGTTTGCATAAGGCTCTAAAGGTCATGGGTTCATTTCACTATCATCTCACTTAGTTCACAGTGCAATTTGTATGTTGCGGGAGCTGTGGACTTTGTGGAACTTTTTTGTCCGGCAGCTAGTGATTTTGTAGAGAGACAAGCTATATGGGATAAGCAGGAAATTGACTTCAACCTTATGAGACATCTGACCATGCTATGGGCAACACGATACACTCACCCACTGGTAGTACTGTTTGAGTCTTTTCTGGAAATGAATCATCCAGTTGCCTAATGACTTGAGAGTGATGGGAGCCAGGCGCCTCCAGATGGATGGAATATTTGCATTAAACAGAGACTTGGCTACATCATCCAGCTCACTGCTCATACCAACCTCCCCTGCAAGAGCCTAGTGGAGAAAAAAAAAGGGGGGAAAATGGGGGGGGGGCATTGTTTCAGCATTACTTCAGTGACATTTTGAAACATTCTAAAACAAAGATGTTTCAAAGCAATCTTTCCCCATTATGAACACAACAACGAACTGCACAGTTTATTGCATGGCACATATGGCTGTATCTTATCAGGTGCATACAATGTAAATAAAACAAATAAATTAGAAAGCAAGACATTAAATCCTCATAGCTGAAATACACAATGAACAGTCCTTTGTTTCAAAGTATGTGTTACCATGATCGTTTTCAAATGATAAGATTGTTTCTTTTTCCTTCCCCTACTCCCCCATCCCAGAGAGTGGATTACTCATGCATGTAACATCAGCTTGTGAACAATACAGTGTAGGTAACTCGTGTGTTTGGTATAATACATAAAAGCATTCTCTTTCTCAATAAAATGCATGCTCAAATCCTTAAAATTTAGAAACAACAGGAGTGTGTGTATGCTTATAAAAAAACAGAGCCACTGCACCCCCCACCGTCCCCCTTTCACCATAACAGGCATATTGTTAAAGGTGACTACTTTAGGGGCATCTCCTTCAAAGCCAGAGTGCATCTGCCTTAGAAGCTAGGAACAAACAGTCTGCATACAAAGAGACCAGATCTGTAAAATGGATGTGCAAATAGAACTCAAGTTCTGAAGCAAGAACAAAGTCCAGAAGTCGACAAACAACCAGAATATTCCATCAAAGTTTGCAGCCGGTGAATGCAATGCAGAAGAAGAAGATTCTAGTAAAAGCATATTTGGAGCTTATTGATGCCGCAGTGTTTGTGCAATACATTATTTAGTACGTATCTTTGATATTTGCTCACCCTTTTTAGCATGGCAAGTGAGCGCCTCATTCGTGCAACCAGTTGGTTAAACCTCTCCAACTCCTGTAGAAATAAACATAGAATCAACACCTTTGGTTTACCCGAGAACCATGTATATCTACCACTTTTCTCCTATCTTTTACACACAAAAATGCCTAATCACTGATTTGTATGATACACATTGATGAGGCACAGCTACCTTTGACAGTTTTAACAAAATATGGAACTCCAATTTATATAGTTATAATAATTTTTTTTATATGTTTTAATTCTAATGTTATGTCAGTTTTAACATATGCCAGTGAAAGAGACCAACTAAAGATGCTGAACAAAGGTTAAATGCCTTCAAAAACAAATGTCTATGGAAAATCAGATGAATTCAAGAGAAATGTCAGGGTAACCACTAGTATCAACAGTTATAAGATAGAGAAGTCTGTGCAGTACTGGACACATAGTGAAAAGAGACAAACAGAGAATCATCCGTATCAAAATGAGAAACAGAGAGACTGAGAAAATAGGACCTCCAAGAGAAACCTAATGGGAAATATTGATGAGAGAAGCTTGGAAATGCTGGACTGGATTCCATCCATGATATCGAAGGCATGGGATAGAACATAATGATGACATAGACTGTGAGCCCTATGTGACATACAACATACAACAGGATAATGAATGAAGGAATGGTTCAATTATTTGTACATTGTAACTCAAAGTTTGGGGGATATGGTAAAACAGGGACTAGCTCCTGTCCTGATGGTCACTGGTTGAAATCCTCATTAACTCTTTGAGTCCCAGGGGTTTAGCATCACTGGCCCAAGGGGTAGTCAAGAAAGACGTAAAATTGGCGCATCTTGCGTTCATTGGACTTCTAGGTAGGAATCTATGAACGTATGACACATTCCTTGGGACTCAAAGAGTTAAGGTGAGTTTTAATCATTACAATACATGTCATAAAATTTATATTAGGAAATGTTCTGGAAAGTAAAGATGACCAGAATATTGCTGACTACATCTCACAGTGACTGCTGATTGATATTTTAAAGAAATGGCTATCACTAAATCTCAAAATGATCTCAGTGCAAGAAAATGGGTTATCTACTTTGCTTTTAAAAATTCTAAGTATGCACAGAACTAGTGGGTCACATCCTCATTGTAATTCATTGTAAAGTCTTTAATCAACATTGGCAGCAACATATCTCAACAGTTTATCCTGAGTATAAGTGCCCCCTTATCAAACATGAAACCAAGGAAGCAGGCAGTAGAATGAGCATGAGAGCAGCTGACTAATAGTTGCTGGCCATCATTTGAAGTTCCATAACAGTGGCCAGAAGATCGTATACTATATAGGCAATGGTGAAAGGTCACCTGACCAGTATGGGTCTTCCAAGAAGGAAATAGCAAACTACCTTCCCACAGATGTGAAATACATATTGATTCAACATACTCATCATCATCATCATCACATGCACTGCCAACTGGTGTAGGCACTCACGGGTCTCCACAGATCACGATCCCTGGTTGCCTGGAACAGCTCTCTTGATGATATCCCTCCTTGCCATCGTTTTAGCCCATCCAGCATCATCTCTCTTGATCTGTCTCTACCCCTTTTCCACTGATCTTCCCAGTTGTCACAATGTTCTCCAATGTCTCTCTTCTCATTATGGGGCCAAAGAACAGTGTTTGTCTCTTTCTTATTCAGCATACTCAACCAAGTAAATATGTGATTCTGGTGACCATGTGAGACTATAATCAACTATGCTTATCAGCATGGCACATGATGATGATGATGAAATTCTGGCTTATTTCCCTTAGAATTACTGACTTGTAGCAAGACCACTGTTGTAGGAGAGATGTCCAGTCCAAGGACTCTTCGTATCTTGATCAGATCAAACTCTACAGGCAACTTGTCCAAGATTTCGGAGGCTATGTGTGCAATGATCTCCTCCCGACTGACTCCAGATGATGAGGCACCTGTACAGAGCATAAGCATATGAATCTATACTACTCTTTCATTTATTAATAGTAACAGTATTGAATTAATACCTTGTTCAACCCTCTGGATTATATATGGAAAAGTAGTGAACATAATATCTGCATATATATATGTATACTAAGATATGCAGTATTTCTTGCAGCAAATGATCAATACAGAACATCAACAATTTATTAGGCAGCAGACCGCCTTGCAATGATTTCAACGCTTGTAAGGTGTGCTGACCATTCAAACTCAATTGCAAACTACTGAATATAAAATTTAATTCTAAAACTACAAACAGCCAGAAAGTGTTTGGGTTTGTTCTCCAACATCCTGTAAAGGTTAAACAACTTACTGTTTCAAATGTGCCAGTTTGTCATGTCAATGAAGAAAGTGAAAATGTCACACAGTGGGATTTGTTTAATACTTAGTAATGAAAGTGTGGAAATAATGTCACTGACGGCCAACTGGTTATCTCCAATTTTAAATTTTTGTATGATATTCACTCTGGCTACTGTCCTGTCCTGTACAATTTTGTTAGATGTCAATTCTGTCACATCCACCCATTGCCTCTGTGTAATGAGACATAACCTGTAAACAGGTCACCTAAACAAAACAGCCCTCTCTGGTTTTGTGACTGACAAAACTCAAAACACTCAGGCCATGAAACATTGTGAAATCAAATGGTGTCCATTCACACCAAACAATGGCAGTAAGTAAAAATAAAATGTAAGGTCCTTTTTCCACGCCTTTAGGCATATAGGGCTAGATATTTATTTGTATAGACCAATTGGCACAAAATAGGTGATGTGGTCAGCATCACGCCGGCTGCCTTTACTTCACGAGACTGCACCAAGTACCCACTCAAGGCTGGGTCAACCTGGGAGTCAAGGAACAATGACAGTAACTCCGTTAAAGTAAAAAAGTTGCTAAACCAACATTTAAAATTCTTCAGCTGCTATTATTAGTAAATATAAATCGTATTTCAATTTTTCTGGTCAATAGTATAATAAATTCACAGTGCAGTAATGATGATGATTAATGTAGGTGGATACAGATATGCTAAAGGCAAAGTGGCAAGCAAGCATGACTTAATGGATCCCAAGTAGTTAGTATCCTTTGGGTATTTTCTTCCAGGAAGTCAAGTGTGTTAGCAAATGAACAGGCAGACAGACTGTCTGGTTCTGCATATGGAATGGTAAATTAATGCATGACAAGCTGGATGTGTTCAAACCTTTGTGAGAGAGTGAAAATGAGTAAAGCACAAATAAATCAACACAGCCTTGAAGAGAATGGCATGGCAGAGAGTAAAAAGAGGCTCTGATCAACACTCAACCAAAAAGGCAAGGTAGACATACAGACTACAGCTGGTACTATCAGAACTGAAACTCTGTGCTGGCTGCTGAAAGAAGGGGACCAAGTGCTTATGGGAATATCTTGAGTACTATAATATCAGTTCTTAACTCAGCTCAACTCAACTGATAATGAATGTTTAGCTAACCTGTCTGCGGTTGCAGCTCAACCAGAAACTCTAGCATTGTTTTAGCTGCCTGTGTGTAGTAGCCGATCTCTGCATTTGGGTTTAATCCAAAGACATCTGGTTTGTTGGCCAGGGGGAGTGACTCAATGTATGCTGAAGATACACATTCACAATGATCATGCATAATAACAGAGAAAATAAAGGCAAAGTTGGTAAAGTGGCATTACTATTTTCGTGTACAAACCAGGTCAATTAATGGATCTTGAGACATTATTGAGATGTGTACAAACCAGGCCTGCATGGGTACAGAAGTATCACTATGATTACTTGTACAAACCAGGTCTGTGTGTGGGTACAGAGGCATCACTATGATACCTTTACATACCAGTTTTGTGTGGGGTATTCAAGCATAGCTATGTCGCATGCATTTCTCTGCTTTTCAATAAGATGCAACAATTATGCTTCCTCTATTCAGCCCATCTTTTGATATCTCTCAATTTAAACTACCAACCTTTTTGTGTGCATGTTTGCCTTCTAGCCTTTCTCTAAACCTAGCTTTAAGGAAGATGATGCAAACTCTTTTATACAGTAGAAAATCTTTGTTCCTAACTCTGATGTTATTCAGTAATTATTTGTTAGTAATTTACACTATTGATATTAAATTCTAAATTATATTAAAACAATTTATTATGATGCTTTCAAAAATAGTTTGAACTAAACACATCCAAACAAACAAAACCGATTACCAACCTAAGTATTCATCTTTGGCAGATGGGACTTCTGGCTGAGGTATGAAGTAGTCAACTGTCTCATCATGATAGAAGTGAAAAGGTTGGAAGGAGTCAAAGATAAAGTCTCCCATGTATTCCTCCATGTATGTTCTGAGTATACGTCGATCAAAATCATCTATAGCTCGGCCTCCATACATCACCTAAGAAATATCAGATTAAACCAGCAATGCAATAGTTCTTTTAACCATCACAAAGGCATTGGTTAATAAAAGAACATGAGATTAACACCTAACAGCATCAGATAATAACATTTCCTATCAAAAGTTACATTTCTAGAAGCATAAATCTTTTCCATTGCAACAGACGCCTGTGAGACCTGGTCACTTGATATTTGACATATGAAATAATAGGATATGCATAAAGAAATGCTACAAATGGTCCTTGGGAGAAAGGGGGGAGGGGTAGTAGCAGCTTAGTCCCCTTAAAAATAGAGGTGGTTGGGGGGGGGGGGGAGCTCAACTTACTTCTAGGGTGCAGTCAGAAACAGTCTAAACTGGGTATGAAGAAAATACAGAGGAAGTTAAAGTGATGGTCAGTATGATACTGGACATCAATCACTAACTGAGGGTGGACTGGTCTAAATATCTGGGACTAACATAAAATAGCCAACTCACCTTCAAGTGTGAAATGGGAGCCGTTACTTTTGTGTGTGTGGTGTGTGTGCATGTGTGCGCCTGAGTGTGTGCATGCATGTGTGTGTGTGTGTGTGATTAACATAATTAAATAGCTCATTCATTTTTCACTAATCATTACCAGCTTTGTTTTTTTAATAATAGAAGAAAAGGTGGTGGTAGCCATCTCCAAATGTCTGTCACAGTAGCCATGACAACAACATGCCTAAAAATATGTCAGTACTGCATACCGTTGTGTACCACCAGATAAAAGCCCTGATCATTGTTATACATTTCTTTGAACAAATAAAACACAAACAATTAGTTAGTTAGTTAGTTAGTCTTTCCTCTTGTGTCGAGTGTGGCGGCACGCCGTGTATTCCCAAATGATTTTCTGGTGCGGGAAACTCCTGTAGATGACATCTTTGCTCCCTAGATAAGTGAAAATGTTGACTTTTTCAAGGCTTTTTCAAACAATAATTGCACAATTTGTTGAACTAATTATTGCCAGGTATTTTTCACTGTATCTCAACAGATGCAAAAACAAAGTAACCAATGAATGTTTCCCTTTCCCAAATTTTTATGAAATCTATTTACAAAAAAAAATAACTTTTTTTTAATCAGGTTTTTAGCAAAATATGCCAGGCAATAAATTATGCAGTCTGCTGTTTTTATCTTCTTTGTTCAAAATTACAATGCGGAAACATTGATTTAAATAAAATTTTTTCTACTTTTAAAAACTTTTTTTTTTTTTTCAAAAAAAATCCTTCCTTCAAATTAGTAGGGATGTCCCCCGGGAACCTCGCTGCCATAAACCCCCCGGGAAAACCCTTCCCACATACAAGATGTCCTGCGT